ACAGGCGGGACACAGGGAGGGATAACGGGGCACAAGACACAGGCGGGACACAGGGAGGGATAACGGGGCACAAGACACAGGCGGGACACGGGGAGGGATAATGGGACACAAGACACAGGCAGGACCCGGGGGCGGGCGCGACACGGGACAGGCACGAGACGGGAACAAGCGGGAGGCGGCGGCAGCGCGGTCTCTGTGGCGCAATCGGTTAGCGCGTTCGGCTGTTAACCGAAAGGTTGGTGGTTCGAGCCCACCCAGGGACGGCCGCTCCTTATTTTCCTGTTCGACCGCAGCTTCGCAGCCCCGGGATGGGGCCTTCCACGCCGAGTCCTGTGGCGGCTCCGGGACAGCCCCGGGACGGCCCCGCCCGCCGGGAATTGTTTTGGGATCGTTTTGCCGCGGGCAGCGGCGGGGCCGGCGGGTGCCTCCGGAACCCCTCGGCCGGGACGCGTTTCCCGCCGGAGCGCTGAGGCGGTGCCGCGCCGGGCGCTTTAGCGGGTGCACCGCGCGCAGAGGTTGCGTGAAGGGCTGCGGAGAGATGGCGGCGCTGGGCCGTGAGCGGGGCCGGGGACAGGGACGGGACACGGACGGGCCGGGGACAGGGGCAGGACGGGGACAGGGACCGGTTTGGGGACCGAAACAAGCCCTCGACCCCCCGCCGAGGGAGTGACCGGGAGGGAGCCCTGAGGGGACACCAGGCGGTTCCCGGCCCACAGCCGCGCTCAGCTCTCCCGTCCTCTCTTGCAGGTCTCCGGCTCCCCGCGCACGCTGTGCTGGGCTGGCGGTGAGCGCCGGGGCTGGGGACACCGGGGCGGTGGGACACCGGGGCTGGGGTGGCCGGGGCGGTGACCCCGGGGCTGGGGGGACCCCAGAGCCGCGGCTGAACGGCTCCCCGAGCTTTGGGGGGTCACTGGGGGTCTCCTTCCCCGCTGGGGTTTGTGGAGCACCGGCTCCCGGGAGGGCTCGGGTGCATCGCGGGGGGTTCTGTCACCCTGTGCGGGCCCTTTCTGTCCCCAGGCCCGGCTCTGTGAGTCCCGTTCAGCTGCTCCATCAGACGCCGGCGGCCGATCACGCTGACAGGTAACAGCCCTGGGGACAGGGAACAGCAGATTGTGCCACCACCCCGGGTCAGGTGTCTCCTCCCTTCCCTGCTGAACTCCGGGGAGATCTGGCAGCTCTGGGAGTCCTGGGGCTCTCTGTGGTTGGGACATGGCTGAGGGGCTCTGCCTGCGCACCAAACCCGCAGATCCCCACACTGGGGAGAATCCTCTGCTACAAACAGAGGGGTGGGATTGCCATTCCTCGGGGAATCACAGCCCTTGGAGGGCTAAAGGCTGATTCTGCAAGGAAATAACTGGAGAGTGATGGCTCTGTGCTGTTCCTTTCAGCTCTGTCCAGGTGCAGAAGAGCTCTGCTGTTGTCCAGAGGAAATCCTACGTCCCCAGTAGCCGTGGCGAGTACGTCATCACCAAGCTCGATGACCTGGTCAACTGGGCACGGCGGGTGAGTCCCGGGCCAGCGGGCTCCCCTGGCATCGGGGGACAGAGGGTGACAGATGGGAAACACCTCCTGCTCAGGATAAAAATAGGCTCAGAGCTCCCGTGGCCGAGTTCTGTGGCCAGAGGGTGACATTGGGGTGCAGTGATAGAGCGGGAGAGAGGCTGAGGGTGTGTGTGGGGTCTGGAACTGCCCTTTGGTCACCAGGAAAAGGAACTTTCTGGAATTATCCCTGCCCTGGGCAGCTGCTGTGCCTGTGGGGAAGGGTGACACGAGTGACAGTGCGCTGGGTCTGCTGTGCTCTGCCTTAGCCGGGCTGGTCCTTCTCTGGCCACCGCTGTCCCTGTGGGGCTCTGGGCTGTCCCTTCTCTAGGGCTGTGAGCTGTCCCCTGAGCTGGGACACCAGTGTCCCTCTGGGGCTTTGAGCTGTCCCTTCTCTGGCCACCGCTGTCCCTGTGGGGCTCTGAGCTGTCCCCTGAGCTGGGACACCAGTGTCCCTCTGGGGCTTTGAGCTGTCCCTTCTCTGCTGCCCCTGAGCTGGGACACCACTGTCCCTGTGGGACTCTGAGCTGTCCCTTCTCTGCTGTCCCTTCTCTGCTGTCCCTGTGTGGTTTGGTGGCTTCAGCAGCGTCAGGGGAGCAGCTCTGGACACGTTCAGGCTGCACACGGAGCTCTCCCTGTTTCCATTCCCCCACAGCCGTGGGTTTTGCTGCCCTTTCTCTGTGTCACCCAAGCTCCTGCCTGTCCCCACAGAGCTCCCTGTGGCCCATGACCTTCGGGCTGGCCTGCTGTGCCGTGGAGATGATGCACATGGCAGCTCCTCGCTACGACATGGATCGTTTTGGGGTGGTGTTCCGGGCCAGCCCTCGCCAGGCTGACGTCATGATCGTGGCGGGGACCCTGACCAACAAAATGGCCCCGGCGCTGCGCAAGGTACCGGGGAGCACGGGGACCTCGGGCACGGCAGGGGGAGCTGGGAACCATCCCAAATGTCCCTGTTCTGCAGGTCTATGACCAGATGCCAGAGCCTCGCTACGTGGTGTCCATGGGGAGGTGAGTGCCGGGATGTCCTCGGTGCCGTGGGGGGAATTCTTTGCTTGTTTGTGTTTCCAAGTTCTTAAAGAGGCCTCGTAGAGCAGAAAGGCTCCTTCTGGGGATGGTGTGTGTGTGAATCCTCACAGGGATAGCTTCAGGGGATTTGCAGCTGCCAAACTTGTGTATATCCATGATCCCAGAGTTTGCTTTTGGCTTTCAAAATGCTTCTGCTGTGCTGGAATCTGCTCCATCAGGGATTCAGTTGGAATCTCCTTCATGAAGGACTCAGTGGGAATCTGCTCCATGAAGGGATTTGGTTGCAATCTGCTCCATATGGAATTTAGTTGGAATCTGCTCCATGGGGGACTCAGTTGGACTCCATGATCTCAGAGGTCTTTTCCAACCTGAATGATTCCATGGTTCTCACAACTTTTCTTGTCCCCACACCAGGGCTGGGGGCAGCCAGTCCAGGCTGGAACAGGACAGATTCTGGGAAAACTCTGAGGGAAAACAGAAGGTTTTGTAGCAGAGAGGGAGGGCTGTGCAATCTGCTTTGTGAGGGTGATGGGAACACTTCAGTTGGGTTGGATTCATCTAAAAACATCCCAGGCAGGGCTTGTGATGGGGCAGTGTCACCTGTCAGCTCTCAGCTGGTGGCTCCGAGTCTGGCAGTGCCTGCCTGCCCAGGGCCACCTTCCCTTGGCCTCCTGCTCACCCTCCTGGGCTGAGCCTGTCCCTGTCCCTGTCCTGCAGCTGTGCCAACGGTGGGGGCTACTACCACTACTCCTACTCTGTGGTGAGGGGCTGCGACCGCATCGTGCCCGTGGACATTTATGTGCCAGGTACAAGGGGCAGCTCCACCTGGGAGTGGGGCAGGGAGGAGGAATTCTCTGCTCTTGGGTGTAGGTTTGGAAAGTTTTCCTGTTTCAGTGCTGGGGAAGCTGCAGCAGCTCCAGGGATTGTGGGGTGGGGAGGGTTGTGATGGTGGTGGCACCGTCAGTGGGGTGGGAGAGGGGTTTGGATCACAGAATTTGATCGGTTTGAAATCAAAGAATTGCTCTCTTTGATAAAGATCTTGATAAACACCATCACTTTTTGTTTCTTTACACTCCTGGCTGTCCCAGCCACAAAGCCAGAGGGGAGTCAGCTTTGGGGTAAATCCTGGGATTGGCACCTCTGCTGCTGCCTCCGTGCAGCTCCGTGCAGGTCCCAGCCCTGTGACCTTCCTCCCTTCTTTCCTTTCCCTCTCTCTCAGGTTGCCCACCCACAGCTGAGGCTTTGCTGTACGGGATCCTGCAGCTGCAGAGGAAAATCAAGAGGGAGAGGAGGTTGCAGATCTGGTACAGGAAATAGCCTTTATTTATGTCCCCACTCCCTGCCCCCGGGCACTGCTCACATTCACGCACAAATCCAGCTCCTCACGCGCCTTCCAATAAAACTCTACCTGGTCCAGGTGCTTTCCTGTCTTAAATAAACCCCTCTGATCTGAGGGCTTGAAAAACAGGAGGTGAATTTGATAACACTGCTGAGTTGGTTTCTGTCAGGGAAGGTGATGACATATTGTGACATAAAGGTTTTGCCAGAATGGTTTTTTTTAGCTTTGTTGGGAAGTTTTGAAACCAACACATGTCCAGGTGATCCCTGATCTCATCCCTTACTCACCACCTGCTCCTTGTTACTAATTCCTACACAGGATCTGATAAAACTGTAATATTTGTGTGTGCAGGGGCCAGAAATTAACTCTGTTTCTGTAACAAGTCAAATACTGCTGCTTAAAATCAGAATGTGATTAATAAACCTGAATATAGAGCTCCTAAGCAGGGTGGGGATAAAGCAGCCTGTCCTGGATGCTTCCCAGGAGCCTGGAATGAGGAATGCTCGTGCCTGAGGGACAAACACACTTTGGAAAGACAAATCACTCGGGAACAGCAGTTTGGGTATTTAATTCCTTTTAATGGACTTTGTCCCTTCTGGGGAGAGAGGAAACATCATTTATTGAGCTGTGAGGGGGGGTTGGGGTCAGGATTTGCTGCTGTGGGCTTTGGCCAAAAATGTTGGGAAACTTCTCTGGGGAGTTGCTTCAGGAGAAGCTGAAATGCCTCAAAATGCCTCAGACTGCCCCATTTCTCCCACCTGATTTGGATTATTTGACTCTTGTGGGAAGCCACTCTGTGATTTCTCAAAATGATCCAGTTTTTAGAGGAAATGGCTGGTTCTGGAACCTGTTTGGCCAAAGGCTCCAGCCCACGCTCTGCAATTCCAGCTTAATTGAGAATTCAAAGTCTTGAGGGGACAGAGCAGGGTGAGATCTTCCACAAAGCCCACAAGACCCCTCCAGGGCAAGGGGCTTCTGGGGCAGGGACTTTCCTGTCCTTTTGTCCCCTGGAATCCATCCCAAGCCTTCACCCATCTCTGGCTGAATCAGTTTCGATGTCTCAGGGGCTTTAAAGGAGATCAGAGCTTTTCTCCTCCTCATCAGCTCCTGCTCCCCGGGCTGGGCCCCTCAGTGTTTGAGGATGGTGGGGGTGATCATCCTGGGGTGGGAGTAGTAGCGGCACTCGCGGGGCGGCTGCAGCTCCATCACCCTGGTGCTGATGTTCTCCCTCCTGAACCCTGCCTGCAGCAGCGGCCCCACCTGGGTCTCCTGCAGGAGAGGAGGAGCAGCTGTGGGTTGGGGTGGCTCATGTGAGAAGGGACACCGCGGGGACAGCACCAGCAGCCGGGGGAAAAACCCTCCGAGCTCCCCTTTGGCCCATCCGCCCATCCCCAGCACCATGGATGAGTTCCACAGCCTTTGCCTCATGCCAGGCACGGCTTTGGGGAGGGGAACAACTCACCTCAAACATCTTCTGGATGTCGCTGTACCTGCTCTTGAGCAGCTCCCCCCACGAGGTCAGGTTGCAGTAGGTGAGGACCCCTCCGGGCCGCAGCAGGCGGAAGGCATGGCCCTGTCCCGGGAATGCGGGGAGCTGGCTCAGCTCCTCCCGCACGGCAGCCGGCCCCAGCTCCCCCTCCCAGCCCCAGCTGCTCCCCACAGAGCCGCTCCCCGAGGTGTCACCTTGATGAAGTTGAACTGATGCGTGTGCCAGGTGTCCTCAGACAGCGGGTAGGTGTCGTACAGGATCCCTGCCCGGGAACAGCGGGGCTGCCCGTTAGCTGGGAGGGACCCTGAGGGGCTCCTGTGTCCCGGGAAAATCCCCCTTCGTGGCCTGGGATTGTTCTGTTCCTATTGCAATTTGTCCCCATGTCCCTGACCCCTGGAAGGCAGCGATGTGATGGTCTCCAAAATAAAGATCAGTTCCCCAGGACAGGGATCTGCTCCCCACAACAGGGATCCACCCCCAGGACAAGGATCTGTTCCCCAGGACAAGGCCCCAAGGACACAGCTGTGCCCTGTCCCCAGCCCCACTGGAGGATGTGAGCTCCACCTGTTCCCCCCTTTCCATGGCTCAGGGATGTCCTGGGCTGCCGTGGGCTTTGGGGGGTCCCCACCCACCCCTCCCCATCCTGCTGCTGCTGTCTCACCACTGAAGTGTCCGTCCGGCAGCGTTGGCACCACGTCCTCCCACAGCCCCCTCAGGGGCACCACCTGCGGGTGGGGGGCAGAGGGGTGAGCTGGGGGGGTCACAGGCACCCCCAACCCTGGCACAGCCCACCCTGCCCCTGACCTTGTGTGGCTGTGCCTTGGCCCACTGCTCCAGGCGCCGGAAAACGCCCTCGTTGCACTCGATGATCCAATGCTCCTCGATGTCAAATTCCTGCACCTTGGAGGCGGCGATGGCCATCCCGAACCCCACCTCGAGCACGCGGCCGCCTGTGGATGGAACCCAGTGCACCCAGCGTTCACAGCTCTGAGTTTTCTCTGCCTCAAAACCCCCCCCAGCCCTGAATTCTGACCCATTCTTTCCCCAGATTGGGCTCTTTGTGTCCAGGGTGGGAGCACGTGGTGCTGCTGGCACTGAGGGGAGAAGTTGGGAGCAGCCCCATGGCCCTGCCACTTTTGCCACCACCAAACCCCCCCAGTTGATCCCAGTAGGAACAAACAACATCCAAGCCACCCTCTGCCAGGGAAACAACCCCAAAATCAGCAGGCCCTGGATGGGAGGTGGCTGCATCCCTTCCCCATGTCCCCATCCCCTTTCAAGAATGCATCACCCTGACACAAGCACACGAGTCCCACCGCAGCCCTGCTGCCCCTGTCACTGCAGGGGGACCACATGCAGTGGCCAGCAGAACATCTCCCCCCACACCAGCTCTTTTTGGGGAGGCTGCACCCCCAGCACGTCCCGGAGCCCGTGGGGTCCCCGTTACCCTTTGACGCAGCCACGGTGGCCAGCGAGTGCATGTAGGGAGTCTCCCAGCGCTCCATCACCGGCTTGCCCAGGATCTCCAGGTGGGCATCGGGCTCATCGTAGCCCGCTGTGGCTTCCCTCCAGGCCGCCCTGCAATCCTCGCCCTCGGCGAAGATCGGCCCTGCCGCTGCTCCAGAGCTCATGGCTGCAGGAGGAAAGTCCAGCTGGACGGGCCGAGTCTGCCAGGGGAGGAGGGAAAGAAAGGGCCACTGGGCTCTTGGCCGGCTTTAAATAGCCCTGCTGGAAAGTGCTGAGTGTGCACAAGCGGCTGGGGCCCCTCCAGGGATCGGGAGCCCTTATCGGGAATGGGAGCCCTTATCGGGAACAGGGCACCACGGGGCAGCCAGAGCTGCCAGGCCCGAGTGGGCACACGTGGCCTGGGGGTCACTGGGGTGATCTGGGGGGTGCCGAGGATGTCCCAGCTCCCGCTGGCACCGTGCTGTGAATGGCCGGAGTGGGAATGGCCAGCACTGCTGAGTGGTGGAGCCGGGCTGGATCAGGGGGGACGTGAAGGGAAGGGTTTTCCCTGTGCAAGGGGCTGTGTCCCCCCTCCGGGGCTGCACACCAGGACTGTGCCCTGCTCCGGGGCACACACAGCCTTGTGCCCCACACTGTCGCACAGCAGGCTGCCAGCCCCACTTCGCAGCACACCCGTGCCATGCACAGCGCTCTGCGTGCCAGGGGTGACCCGCACGCCCAGCGCAGAGCCGGGCTGGACCGTAAGGCACGGAGGGAGGGTCCCGGGGGGCTGCAGGCGGTGCTGAGCCCGGCGGGGGCAGGGCGGGACCCTGCGGGTGGGCAACGGGACCCGCGGCTGAGCGGTGGGACCCCATGGCAGGGCAATGGGACCCCCAGGAGTGGGCGATAGGCCCGCGAGAGTGGGCAGTGGGACCCCCGGGGCTGGGCAGTGGGACCCCATGGGAGGGCACTGGGACCCCCGGGGGTGGGACCCCGCGGAGGCCCCGCCCCTCCCCCGCGCGCGGACTGCCCTTCCCGCCGGCCCCCGCGCGCGCGCGGCCCCGCCCCTCTCTGCCCCTCCCAGGGCGCGGCCCCGGAGACCCCGTAGCGAGGGGCGGGTGCGCGCGCAGCGGCGGCGCTGAGGGAGCGCGAGCGCGCGGCGGGGGGGGTCGGGCCGGGCCGGGGGCGGCGGGGGGGGAACCGGGACACGGGAACCGGGACACTGCCAGGAGCGCCCGCCCGCGGCCCCACTACCCGCCGCTGGCACCGCCGCCACCGGAGGGAAGAGCCGGGCGCGGCCCCGGAGGAGCCGCCGCCATGAACAGCGTGGGAGGCGCCGATGAGATCGGGTGAGGGGAAGGGGAGGGCGACGCGCTGGGACGGGGCGGGGGAGGTTCGGTCACCTTTTCCCGCAACCTCAAGAAAGAGTCCCGCCGGGGCTCCCCCGGGCCGGGGGGCTGAGCGGGGACCGGTGCCGGGCCGGAGGGGGTTGAGGGGGGTCAGGTCCCGGTCTGGGGGTGCTGAGGGGGGGCCGGTCCCGCCATGTTGGGGCCGTGAGGGCGCACACCCCCCCTCCCGTCACGTGACTGGCGCGCGCGCGGGGCTGCGGCAGGGGCGCGCGCCCCAGGTCC